AAGGATGGGAAATATGTAGGAAAGTGTTTGGGGGAAAAAATCCACTGGGATAAAAAGAAAAAAACCTGGCCTCCAGAAATAGCCCGCTCAGTCAGTCAGCGTGGACGTCGCTAAAGGCTGCACCGTGAGACAGTGCCTGTGTGCTGGAGACGGCTGTAGAGCTGGGCCCTCAGTGTGTGGGCCCGGGGCTGCATCGGCACCACCTGGGACCTTGTCAGAAATGCAGCTTCGTGGGTCCCACCTGGACCTGCGAGCCAGAAACTCTGGGGCGGGCTTCCCTCCAGGTTCCAGAACCGAAGCTTGGGGTCCTGGGGTGACTTGAGGTGAATTTCTAGGGAAGCACGTGCACCCATGCTTCTCCTGCAAGAATTCCCTCTCGTTTTTTAGATTAGAAAATGGAAATCAGGGCGTTGTGAGCTGCTCAGTCTCACAGCTGATGAGTAGCAGTCATGGGCCCAGGTCCCCGTGAGGCCCAGGTGCAGGGAGCTGATACAATGGGTGAGAGCGTGGGCTTTGCAACCAGAATGTCGGGGTTGGAATCCCAACTGTGTCACTTCAATGCTGTGTGGTCCTGGGCAAGTTGGTTAGCCTCTCTGTGCCTCCAGTTCCTCATCTGCAAACTTCTACTTCATGCGGGTTTGGGGAAGGTTCCATAAGGTAGTTTATATTAGGTGTGAGAGCAGGATCCAGCAGGTAGTAAACACCCAGTATCCTTGTTGTTGTTATGGTGTTTCTCAGCGTGGGGCAGTGGAAAGAACACACAGCACTGGCCCTTGGGTCTTCACTTTGGCATTGGCCAAGGTGAGAGCCCCAAATAGAACAATGGATGGCCTCCCTCGCCCCAAGGCTTTTTCAGGGGCCACCGATCCAGCCCCAGAGGCCCCAGCGTTCACCTGAGTCTCAGGATGTAGCTGTGCTATCCCCTCCCCTGCCTCCTGCGGGCACATCACGTGCCAGCCCCCAGCTATACATAGATCAGGCCTCATTTGAGGGCGGTGGAAAGTGACAGGAGATTACCGGGAGGTAAGCATCAGCTCTCCGGTTTCAGGGCAGGACCCACAGTTGTTGAATCGCTTGACTTGTCGCCAGATGGTATCAGGGACAGTGGGTGAGAACAGCCACTGGGCTCTTAGCTTCCAGGGACCGAGCAGGACGGCAGCCAGGGTATTTTTAATGAGTGGCTTTAGGGACATTCGCTTTGAGCAAAGAGCTGTGGCATTTCCCCCCAGGCTCCTCCATCCTCAGATTTTTTTCCAGACTCTTGAGCCTGGCGCCTGGCATATTGCAGGTGCTGTTCTCTGAGGCCCAGCGCCCAGTCACACAGCCCAGGGAGCGTGTCCCCTGGTGCTTCTGTATTAACTCCCCCTCCTTTCATGGGCAAACTTCTTGAACAAGTGATCCACACCTGCTCTAGCATGTCCTTGCCACCCACTCAACTCCCTCTGGCTTCTGTCTCCGCTCCTCTCTAAAAGGTCATTGGTGGCTTACCCGTCCTGAAAGGAGAGACTTCACGGGGTCCCCCTGCCCCCGGGACTCCCTGCAGCATTCGATCCGACCACCCACTCCTTCTCAAGGCTCTCTCTTCCCGTGACTTTGGAGTCATGACACAGTGTTCCTTGTCCTCCTCCTGCTTCTCTTAGAGTCCACTCTGCCTCCTCCTGCTCTTGCCTCCTATGAAGTGGCCAGTCCCTGAAGATGCCACCCACCTCTCACCTCTGGAGCTCCACTCGGAGCCTCTCCCCTGAGCTCCAGGTTGGCACCTCCAGCTCTTGGCTGGACTTCCATCGCCATGAACTCATTGCATCTGAATCCAGGTGGAGCTCCTTGCCCCTGGCTCTGGCATGCCCTCCTGACGTCACTGCTTTGTCCTCCACTCTGTTCCCTGGCTGGAGACCCTGGAATCATCTTGCTTTCCTCCTCTCCTTTGGTTTCCCTCCCTTCTCTCTCCAAAGCCATGCATGGCAGAGCTACCAGGTCCGCCTGACTCTCCATCTGTAACCTCACAAGTTACACCTTCTCCGTCCACTGCCACTGCCTTCATCTGAGACCAGTCACCTCCCACTTAACTATGGCATCAGTCTCCCAACTGGTCGCCTTTCCTTTCCACTCTCCTTTCTATCTGTCAGGTCTATGACCTCAGATCACCCTCCTCAAACCCAAATTAGCCTCACTGCTCTTCTATTCAAACAGCTCCCAAGTCAGAACGACCAGTCCTAATATTCAGAGTCCCTCACACTTTCTCATGTGCCTGGAACACACTACTCCCTTCAGTGTCCCCAAAGAAGCCCTCTGCTCAAGGAAGTCAGCCCGATGCCTCTGTGATGATTGGCATCGAACTAGACTTCATCTTCAAGGGAATAAGTGACCAAGAATAGTAAATCCCAGTGCTTAAGAACACAGGGCTTGGAATCAGAGACCTGGATTTCTGACTTGGTCGCAAGGGCTGGGATGGCCGTAAAATATGGACAATAACAATATCTATTGTGAGGCTATTGTGAAGATTCTATGAGATAAAGCATGTAACGTGCTGGCCCAGTTCTTGGCATGCAGTAAGTGCTTCATCAGTGTTGGATTTTCTTCTTAATACCATGACAGCTGGATGGCGTTCTGGACCTTGGACCAATTCAAAAATACCAAAGCCTGATGTAGTGAAATGAAAAGAGAACAGTAAATGCTACTGAGGACCTACTATGATCACGGTCTGTGCTAAACAAAAGTGGGTGAGACATATTTTAGCATCAAGGATCTTGTGATTTCATTAGGGAGGAAGCTAATAAAAAATTAGGTAGGTGCTAAAGGACTAGAAAATAAAGGCTAGAGAGAGAGAGAGAAATATATATATATATATATATAGAGAGAGAGAGAGAGAGAGAGAGAGAAAGAGAGAGAACACTACGAATGTCTACTTTATTATTGACTTTACATATTATTTCATAGAACTTTTTCCATAAAATTATTTTTGTACTTGAAAGAATCAGCAATGGCTGCCCACTTGGTTGGAGTGTCATCATGCACACCAAAAGGTTGCCGTGGTTCTCAACCTTCCTAATGCCGCGACCCTTTAATACAGTTCCTCATGTTGTGGTGACGCCCAACCATAAAATTATTTTTGTTGCTACTTCATAACTGTAATTTTGCTACTGTTATGAATCATACTGTAAATATCTGATATGCTATATGTGTTTTCCAATGGTCTCGACCCACAGGTTGAGAACCACTGGGTTACAGGTTCAATTCCCAGTCAGGGCATATACCTAGGTTGAGGGTTCAATCCCTGGTCAGAGTGTGTACAGGGAGCAAATGATCAATGTTTCTCTCTCACATTGATGTTTCTCTCCCTCTACCTCCCTCTTCCTCTCTTTAAAAGTCAATAAAAACATATCAGGTGAGGATTTAAAAAACAAAAAACAAAAAAGAATCAGCAATGGCCAAAGTAAATCCTAATGCTTCCGGAAAGAATGAATGTGTGCCAAAGTCCAGGGGCAACATGTACCAACCAGTAAGAGACAACCCTGTTCTGGGTGGGCAATAGGTCTCTAGGGTGGACAATAGGTGAGACCGTCTGAGAAGTAAGCAATCAATCAAACAAACAAAACCAGCAGAGGAAAGACTAAGTCAGCAGGATTCCAGTTTTCTGGAATTTAGAAGACTCTCTCCTTTCTCCTATTTGTAACTCCATCCCTGCAATTGGCTTAAATGTCCTTGAATTTGTGAAGTATTTGGGCTAGTCCATCATTTCATACACAGTCTGGTGTCTCTAAGGAACTACATGAGACACGAAAGAGGCACAAAAGGGTCCTTCTCTCAGGGAGGAAGATGCACGGTACAGAAGAGACGTACACTACTCTCACGACTGTGAAATAAGCGTCGGCGCCGGGTCTCTGCGATGAGCTACTGGAATTCACAGAAAGGAGGCTGGGGTGAAATATGACCCTGGAGCTGGGCTTTGCAGCCGAGGGTGGCCAAGGCTGGCAGCAACGTGAGCGAGCACTGGGACTGGGCGGTAGCCGAGTGCAGAAGGAACATCTGAGCTGGAGATCAAGGCCAGAGCAAAGGCGGAGGTGCCATCCAGCCAAGTGGGAGACGCACACAATGTCTGGCCTGCTCCCCCAGTCAGCCGGGGTTCCTGGTCTTGGGGGGAAGGGATCGGGTCAGGAGTCAGCCCAGAAGGCCTTTCACCACAGCCATTCTCTAGTCCCCGCCCCCCACCACCCTCAGTCTCACTGCTCTCTCTTGGGTTGCAGCCAGTCAGCCTTGGGTCACCCTTGGCTTAGGCTCATGAGAGGGGCTCGCTAGGGCTGACGGAAGTGATGACAGAGCTCAAGTGGGCAGGCTTCGGGCCTAATCACAGTGGGAGGCGAGAGTGACGGGGCACTGCGGGGATTGTACGTCAGTGTGCCAAGGAGGAGGTGAGCAGGTCTTGGCAGTGTGGTCTTGGCCCATCGGTGAGAGCCGCTTCTGTCTGTGCTTCCACGCCTAGGACGGTGAGGGGCTCTGCTCAGTTAAACAGGAAGCCAGGGGAGCAGAACTGAGTTTGTCTGAGACAGCACCTTCCCCGTCCACTCGTATGTCTTCCAAAGTCACATCTAATCAACGTGGGGATTAGGAGACCGTGATTGACATGCCTAGGAGAGGCACACATTTGCATCCACCTAAAAACCAACAAAACTAGGTGGTGTGTGCCTAGGAGACATCAGAGTTAAATTCTGTGTTGAACTTTCAGAGTTAATTTCTTATATTCTCAATAATATTTGTATTTCTTCTCTATGCCTAAGGTAGGGGGCCCACAGGGCCAAGTGTGGAAAACTTTAGGCCATACCACTTGTGGATGGGTACCCATTTTTCGGAGGGGACAAGCATAGAGTCCTTTTGCCCCAGTTGGTCACAGTAATAATGGGAGTATGAAGGAAAGCCCCCTGAACATCTCAAAATATTATCCTGTGACATAGTCTATATCTTTCTGCCTTGGGCTCACGTATTCTCTTTGTTTTTCCCTTCAGCTTGTGGCCCAAGTCCTGGAACATAAAGATATAGGCTTTGTGATGGTCGATGCCAAGAAAGAAGCCAAGCTTGCCAAGAAACTGGGTAAGTGTGATTTTTGTTAGATACATCAGGAAGAAACAAAGCGTCTTGCAAAAAAAAAAAAGTATAGTTTCATTTATTCTTGCATGATAACTGGGCTTTATATGTATGTTCATTGTTATGATCTTGCATACCCTAGTCTTGGGTTGTAGAAGAGTTTCCGAAAAGTAAATACCAGCTTAACTTGAATGGTTTTACATTAATTGTCTAATGAAGAAGGCTTCTTCCTGGAGAAATTGACACTAAATATTTAAGCCTTTATTTTTAGATCCTAGAGTTAAAAGGCCAGCTTCTCTATCTCACTACCATGGTGGTCTCTCCTTCCATCATCTATTATTTCCTTACCTCTCGGCTAAAACAGCCAACACATACAAAATTAGTGGTAGTGACTCTGATGTCCCAGTGGTTTCTAAATTAAAGGCTAAACCCCAGCTGGGCATTATCACCAAGGATGAGACGGAGGATTTAGATGAGGTATGCGTGACTACCGAGCTCGGGCTGTAATCTCCGGGTCAATATGTCCTGCATAAGTGCAAGCGAACTTTAAGATCCTTACAGTGCTAATCCCAAGGAGAAAGAACACAAACAACTTCCCTGGTTTTCAAACATCCCACACGTGAATTGCCCACTTAGCTTTTTTCCACATGACTAGTGAACAGTAGCCATAGCAGGAGGTTATAAAACAGGACCTTTGAAGAAAGGTTAACTGGATGTGGAGTAGTAAGCATGGGGGTGGGGGGAGATTAGTGGTGGTTCTATCAATACCTCTAGGTAGCCCTGGCCAGTTTGGCTCGGTGGTTAGAACATCATCACCCTGTGGACCGAAGGGTCGAGGGTTCGATTCCCGGTCAAGGGCATCTAACTTAGTTGCTCAATCCCATTGTTTTAAAGAGAAGTTGGATTTCCAGTAAATTTAGTTTGAGGAAAAAACTAGTGTTCCAGTGATCTAGAAATTTAGGGAAGATAAGCTGGGAAAGCATTCATATGGCCCAGTGAACATCCTCCCAGTCAGGATGTGATGGGGCTTGCAAAGTCTCAATGGGCCTTTCCCCAAGCTCAGCCTGGAGGAATTACCGTAGCAGGTTCCTTCTCGACTACCTGATCCTCGGAGTTTCCAGGACAGTGGTGTTTTGTGAGCCTTCTTCTTCATGTCCATCCTCACCTCCACTTGCCCGAGTTGGGTCGCCATGGGTCTGTGCCTGAACCAGTGCAACAGCCTCCTAACTGATTTCACTCGGAGCAAAATCCAATAGCAGGACACTGGCTGCTATTCCTGTGGTACCCTTGTAATCAGCCACTGCCAGGTTCAAGGATGCGTGACGCATTGCTCCTTTAGGTTTGGAAATGGTGCTCCAGGCTGTGCCCAGGGATCTTCAGACGTGCCCTGGGCCACAGTAGGAGGGGGCCAGCCTCCCTTTCCCTAGAGATTCGCAGAAGAGTTCATTTGGAGAAAGCATTCTCCAGCAACAGAGTTTGAAAACAAGGAATCTAAGGAATTAAGGATGCCTGCAGCTGGACTAAACGCCAGCCTCAGCTCGTTAGCCTTCCCCGGGGGAAATGCAGTCTTGCAGCAAGTATTTGTTCAGGTCACGGCATTGTGCCAAGAGTGATGGAGGGTGGGAAGACAACGCAGACCCTGCCTGGCAGCATTCTCAGCTAACTGGGAAGAGAGAATGTGCAGAACTCAGCTCCTCTAGAAAAGCAAGCTGTTCGCTCTGGCCACAAACATTTATGGGGTGCCCAGTGTGTCCAGGCTCCGAGTGACACCCTGAGATACAAAGATAACAATGGCCCTACCCTCTGAGAGCTGACTGCTACCGTGAGTACATGTACGTGGAGCCCAGAGAAGACCAGTCACGGCAGGAGACACCAGAGTGGCCTTCCTGGGGAAAAGGAGTCCTAAGCTGAGACCCGAAGTAGCTGACCAAGATGGCGGAGGGTGGGGGTCACCTCAGACTCGAAGAATAGGAGAACATACGTGTAGAGAATCATGCTCTGTGACCTTTCCTATATAAACCCTTTTACATCAGCTTGTGGGCAAGAAGCAAAGGGAGTTACGGGGAGTAAAAGAGCAGTTCTCAAAGGAGCACTGGTCTACCCAAGGGAGAATGTGAAGGGTGGGGTTGGCATGATGTTGTGGAAGGACCTGAATGGCAGGTTAAGGAGTCAGGTGGGCAGAGGGCATTGCAACTTTGTGTCAAGGAGAAGGGGGTCACAGGAGTTTTGGAAAACTGAAGCAGTGATGGTGTGGAGAATAGATTTTTCTTTTTAAGTTAAAATGCAGGCGGGATTGTTGGTTCTTGACTATTTTATTTAAATTTGATTTAAATTTCCAAGAGCAATGGACGGTAGGAAATGATGCAGACCCGGCCCTGGCAGCATTCTCAGTGGACAGGGAAGAGAGGATGTGCAGAATTCAGCTCCTCTAGAAAAGCAAGCTGTTTGTGGGGTGCCCAGAAATCTGATCTAAATTTCCACTAGGGAGCAGCTCAGAGGTTTGGTTTCAAGGGAACCACCCTAGGAGTAAGGCGGGCTCCACTCATCCTGAACCGGCCAACAGGATGGCTTTTCCTGCATCGGGATGATCTTGTCATGGGAACTCTTCCTTTCTTCCAGGTTTCCATGAAGAAGGAAGCCTGTACATTCTTAAGGGCGATCGCACAATTGAGTTTGATGGCGAGTTTGCAGCTGATGTCCTGGTGGAGTTTCTCTTGGACGTGAGCATTTATGCACAGTGCCCTGCATGGAGTTGTTTGGGTTCCATATAGGGGGAAGCAAAACTTTAAAATAAGAGCACAGAAGCTGGGTAACTGGACTTGATCTAAGACAGATTTCCCAGGCTTCACAAAAAGTCAAGGACAGTGTACATCCCAGTGCTATTTACTTATTCCAGGAAGCGGGCCCTTAGGTCACCCGAGGAACTGTTTCCTTGTGATCAGAGGGTCACAGATCAGAACTGTGTAGTAGTAACATGTTATCTCTCTTAGCAGTCATATACCGACACCCCCGGAATCCCCTTGGCTTGTTCCAGGGCTTCTGAACACGAGTTGGGAATTGTGAGGAAGTGGTGCCTAGTCACCTGAAGACCAGTAGGGAGAGGAGGAACGATCAGCCGAGTTACCCTCAGAGCAGAATAAAAAGGGGGAGGACCAATGAGCCCCAGTATCATCCTCCTTCTCAGCCAGGGAGGTCCACTACGCTCAGATCCATATGCACAGGCGGATCCATATGCTCAAACACTATACAAATATTCTATCCATAGACAAACCCACAGTCTCAATAGCAGCTGTGAAGTCCAGTTCAAGCTACTTTTGAACACAGATTCCTGTACAGAAAATGCACATCCATATTGACGATTCTTATCTACCAGCTCGTCCACAGTGGTCTCTCACCTCTCTCCACAGCCTCAAAACCCAGAGACGGGTGCTCCCTTAAAAGGGGGCACCTCCTATGAAAAAGTGCCCATAGGTTCTCGCTGGCCTGTCATTAACCCATAACTGCAAGCCCTAAAAAAGTTGAGGGCAGCAGCTGAACAGCTCGGCCAACGTGGCACTGCCCCGCCCTACCAGCGAGGCCAAGGCTTTTAGCTCACAACAGACGCCAGACTCTAGCTACCATAAACAACAGGCTACGTGGTCACCCACACAAATAGAAATCCAGAGTGAGGGCAGATTTTAGACTTGATCAAAACAAGGCTCTCGCACCATTTTTCTCTGTAAATCATGGATAATGCTGTTTTCTCTGTTGGCTTTGTCCCTAAGCTGACTGTTCCCAAGATAAGCCAGCAACAGGAGAAGCTACATCACATTTCCTCATTAATATTCAATAAGAGGGAGGGGAAAATCTGGCTTCCCACTGTTGCCTTTAAGAGAAAGCAGAACTTTCCTAAAGCTTTCAGTAAATCTTTCCTGGAGAGTCATTGACCAGATCTGGGTCTTATGCCATTTCTGAACCAATAAATGACAAGAGAGATAGAACACCATCCAGCCTACCCCATTGAGTCAAGGTCAAGTCCTCAAAAGTCGCTGTTGCTGTACTCATTGGGGGAGGGTGGGATGGATGCTGAGGCACCAACCGAAGTCCCACAACTTCCCTCCAAAGCCCTCTGCATATGTGCCCGATTCCTGGGGAAGGAACCGATTTTGTGTATTTGTGTGTGGCATTTCAGCTCATTGAAGATCCAGTGGAGGTCATCGGCAGCAAACTGGAAGTCCAAGCCTTTGAACGCATTGAGGACCACATCAAACTCATTGGTTTTTTCAAGAGCGAAGACTCAGAATGTAAGTTGTCTGTCAACTCCAGCCTGTTGGTCTAAAGGCTACATTCCCAGCAAGGTATGTCATGTTATCCATAAAGACGGTGGGCATGTCCCATGCGGGGTAGGAGGGAGAATCTTCCTTGCACCCTGAGCAAAGGGACACCTGTATTGACTGTACAAAGCAGGCAGGGGAGCTGAAGGAAGGCTGAGGCTGGGCCATGTTCTCTGGCCTTGAAGGGGGTGAATGTTTTACAGAAGAGAGAAAGCCCTTCCTCCACTTTTCCACCGGCTCACCCACCAGGTGGATTCTCCCTTAAAAGGGGGCAAATAGTGGGCTGTCTTCCTGACACGGGCAGCTCCCATGGTCACCAGCTGGAGAGCTTCTCAGGCACTTGGACAGCATTAGAGGAAAGTTGGGGTAGGGCTGGGCTTAGCAGCTGCAGCACAATGTGGAAAATTGCTGGCCAACCCAGCTGACCACCAAGGCAGCCTGCAGTAGCACACCACACCCTTGGGTGTGTTCCCTTTGAAAGTTTTGCGGCTGGGGTTTGGGTGGGCACAGTTACGTATCACAGCATCAGCACAACCCTACAGGGGTTGAAGTCAGGAGGAATCAGGAAGGGGAGGAACCAGCAAGGCTAACAACCTGAGTACCTTTTCTTAAAGTGCTTTGGCAGCGTGAGCCCAGAGTGAAGCCTTTTCCTGGTGTCTCAGCCTTGGAGAGAGGGAGTGGGCTTAGCTATGAAAGAGGACCTGGTAGCATTAGTCCAGGAGGGAAGTGCAAATAAGGGATGCTTTTGGCTATTTCTGGAAACTCCAAAATATTTTGAAATTATTTGTGAAGCTGTGTCTCTACCCCATCTGCTAACTGGCATCCTCAGTCATCTCAACCACCCACCATTTTCTCTCCCCCGTGGCCTAGCTGAACTGTCTCCTCATCTGCTGTGTAAACGTCTCGATTCACCCTCCTTAACAGTGTGTTGGGGGAAGGTGGCTAAGTGGGGCGTTCTGCCCTGGTTCTTTGGGTGACTTCATTTCAATGTTCACATTTCTATATAGATACTGACTACTCTGGGGAGATCAGAGTAGAAGACTAGACCGGGTTTCCTGAGGACAACTACTGTTTGCAAGAGGTTACGGGTTCGACCCTAACTTGAAGCACCAACCTGGGATTTGCCTTGCCTCACCCTTTTCCACCTTAGGGATACAGACTGGCTCCCCAAGAGAAGAAGGGAGCTCTCTTGACAAAGGTCTAGGCCATGCTTTCCTTCAGGGAAGGAGTTCAGGAAGGTGGAGAGAGGTTCATCAGCGACAAGGAGGACGGAAGCGGAGAACAGAGAATTCTTAAGGAGCCCTCTGCTGCTATAAATAGACATAAGTGACTTAGCTATGGCTTTAACCATTTCCCTTTCTATACTCTCCCACCTTCCTCTATTCATTCTCCAAATCTCTCACCCATCTTCTTCCCCTCCACTCAATCCTCCACCCCAACTATCGGCCTATATGACATATTTTGGGACAACCCAATCACTTTTATGAGGATGAGTTTGTGTGCATGTGGATCAGTATGTAGAGGTTTGTTGTATACTTTCTACCCCTCTCTCATCTGTGCCTATTGTGCGTACCTCTGTTCTAGCAACTATCACACCACACTGTGATTCTTCAAGGGTCCATGACCCACCCTGGGCTGTGAGCCTTTGATTGTTGTCCATGTCTTCCTCATTTTGGTGTCCCCCGAGCCAGCATTATTCTTGAAATGTTTTCCATTGAAAGTTAGGAAATTCTTCATGCTCTTAGAATTCTAGCAAAAGCTTGTGCCTCTGATGATGAAGGGGTATGAATTCCAGGAAACGGAAAAAGTTAATCTTGTTGGATCATTGGCTCTCAAGATTATGGCATTTTTGTAGAAACACTACTACTATTACCATTATCATCACCCTCACATCTAAGGCTTGAACCAGGATGCCTTTACCTAGTAACTGTCTGGGTGTGGTAAGACACAACATGACCATACACGTGCAGCCTCATGCCTCTCTTCCCCAGTTTGTACTCAAGTTTGGGACCAGAGTCAAGCGTGGTCTTGATTAGTTTTAAGTGATCCTTTCAAGGGGTCAGGATGAAAAAAGGAAAAATTAAAAAGAGGGAAAGAAATGCTAGGATTTACCAAAAAGAGTGCTCCTGCTAAGAGTTTAAAATACTTCTGTGCTGTCATTTTGACTGAGGTACATTTCTCCGCACACTGTGTTCCCTCACACACAGGCTGCAACTCTCTAGGGGGCACATGAAAAAGTAGCAGTGACTTCGAGCGAAAGAACTTTTCCTTTGGGTTTGGGGTTTGACCACTCCTTTTCTTCCCCTTGTTCTCTCTGGGTTTTCTCCTTTCCATCTACCAGCTTTGTAAAACATACAACAGTGTGGCAAAGAGTTCTTTTGGGTGATTGAATGCCAATCAGTTCCAACTCCTTGGGGAAGCTGTGGGTTTAAATGGTACTAAATAATTATCTATCTAAATAATATGTACTCAATAATTACCCAATTAGGACTAATTGGCTTCCCACTCTCTCCATTATTTAAACAAAGAAATGTCTGCAGTGTGCGTCTTGCAAATGTCTCTCCCGTCTACTTTTTCCTCTTAGATTACAAGGCTTTTGAAGAGGCAGCTGAGCACTTCCAGCCTTACATCAAGTTTTTCGCGACCTTCGACAAAGGGGTAAGGACCGATGACACCTCAATTTGAACATTTTCGTAGGCACGAAGTATTGACAGTTGAACTTGCCACCCCTTTTTCTTTTCTTTTGAAACGTTAACCACCCTCCACTCATGAGCACTTTCTCCAGAATTAGAAATGTAGCAGCACATCGCTACTGCATGAGATATGAATACAAAGATGTTTCACTCAGATGATGTCAGGGTATTTCTGAAAACATCCCAATGAAAAGGGATGAACCAACCACTCATAGCACTGTCAGCACTAAGAATGGAGAGAGTGTGAGCCTGGAGTGTGCGGGACACTAATCATTGCTTCCTTTTTTTAGAGCATCCTCTCCCTCCCTGGGGCTGCATGCCTTCCCTCTTCTGGGTGGGGAGGGGCATTGACCTTGGAAGCCCCGGTGCTTCCGATAGTTACCCACATCTTCAGGAGATGCTACGGATCTACCTGTCTATAATTCAAATGCTTGTTGTTTTGTGGGTGTGGAAAGGGCCTCTAGAAGCCTAAGAGCACAGAGATAGAGGGACCTCAAACCAATGGGTAATTTATTTGGGGTCTACTCTGCTTGGAGTACTCTACCCTGGCTCCGGGTGCCACTAAAATGGCTACTAATCCAGTGCTCTCTGCATGTTGGGCTCAAGTGGATATATTGCACTAGTACAATCTCTAGTCCTTTACACAACTTCCAGGTGAGAAAACATTTAGAAAGGTTAAGTAATATCCAAGGTCTCCAGTGAATTAATGGTAGTGCTAAGATCCCAATTTAGGACAAGCTGTGCTCAAAGTCCATGCCCTTTCCTCTGTCCCACATCATTAACTAGAAGACTCTGTTCCTACCGTTGAGATTCAAGGTGCACACTTGCACATCCACACCCACATAACACACACAATTCACGCATGTATAGCAAACACAACCCACATTCATAACATACTTAAACATACCCAACATGTGCGTAACACACATACACAGACAACATATGCACTACATAACACACAAACCTAACACACCTACACACACATACACACATAACACCCCCAATGCACACACACTAAGAACATTCGAAGTATTCTATGAAAAACGAGGAAGTCTGTAGATGCTGAAGCAGGGGAAAAGTATGATAAAAGAGATTGCACTCAATTCATACATATATTGACCCACTTCTACGACTATGGCCCCAGTTTACAAGCCTATAATCCAGAAGAGAGGTCCATAGTCTACATCATCTGAACTTGAAGAAAATGTACCCTAATTGGTTGGATTACATTAGAGAGGGATATTGAGCAAGGATAGCAAAAAGAATAATAATTATCATTCATTAAGTGCTTTTCATGTGCCAGGCGTTGTGCTAAGAGCTTATACAGGTTTTCTCATTTCATCTTCTCAACACCCGGTAAGAGAGGGATTAGTTTTCTCAGTCTACAGAGGATGAAACTGAGGTACCGAGGGATTAAGAGATTTGCTCATGTCACATAATGAGTAGTGAAGCTGGATGTAACCTCAGGTCAGCCTGACTTCAGCGTCAGTGCTCAGTACTACTCTACTCCAGAGAAAGACATGGCACATGTACACACGCATCTGGTACATGTAAGCCTTCAGTGAATGTTAGCTAGCTGTGACGGCTGTCTGTTGTTGTTCTTAAGTATATTTTTATTGATTTCAGAGAGGAAGGAAGAGGAAGAGAGAGATAGAAACATCAATGATGAGAGAGAATCATTGATCAGCTGCCTCCTGCACGCCCCACACTGGGGATCAAACCCACAACCTGGGCATGTGCCCTGACTGGGAATCCAACCATGACCTCCTGGTTCATAGGTTGATGCTCAATCACTGAGCCACGCCAGCTGGGCAGGACTGTTGTTAATAAAGACAGTCGTTTAGGTCCAGGAAGGTAGAGGTGGGGAGAGGATATTAGTGGAGAAGGGGAGGTACAGAGAAGCTTTAACTGAGTCCATCACTGGCATCCGGTTAGGATTGGTCAGCAGTGACTATGACTCCTGGGTAAGAACCCATCCGAGGGAAGAGAGTCAGGCAGACAAGCCTGGCCAAGCAACAGAGCCTCAGTCCTTGGAAGGGTGGTTTCAAGGTATAGAGTTCAGGGTGGGGTTGGTTTGCAGATGTGCCTCCCAGCCCAACCACATGGCTTCATGTCTGAGGCCCATGAAGAAGGTGAGGTCAGGCTATAATTAAAAACTCAGAAGGCTCTTCACTAAAAGCTCTAGAAGACACTGAGTCATAAGTGCCACTGCTCACGTAGCCTGGCGGGATTTCATAACATTCAGAAAGAGAAAGGTAATGCTCCCTACCTCCGTGTGGAACCAGAGGGAAGAGCTGTCACGGAGAGGACTCAATGCCATTTGGGACTTAAGAACTTGCACCCAGCAATTAGGGGTGTGGGTGACAGTGCCCAATGGTGATGGTGGGGTCCAGCAGGCATGGTTGCACCCATCATGTCACTCAGGATAGCACACAATGTAAACTTATGAATTGTTTATTGCTGGAATTTTTCTTTTAATGTTTTCAGATCATGGTTGACTGCAGGTAACTGAAACTGTGGATAAGGGGGGACTGCTGTCTATGAGCTGGAGAAATGTAAAGAGGGTGAGATGTCAGGGCTGCAGATGTAGACTTGGGAGTTGGGAGTTTCCAAACACTGTCCATATTGTAATCCCTCAGGAAGCTTTTAAAACTATGGATTTCTGGGCACCAGCCTTGGAAAACTGAATTTTTTTAAAGGATTTTAACAGGACCCAGGAATATGCATTTTTAAAAAGCTTCTAGTACATTTTATCTGGTACATCATTTTGGGACCAGAAACAATCTATGGCTCCTGATCCTCAATCAACCCCACAAGGGGGCAAGAGAGGGTCAGAGGGCTAAGGATGGCGTTCACTCTACTGCACCTTATAGCCTAAAATATGTAGTTCTAACTATCCCCCTGTGATCTCCCAGCGACCTGTTCCTTTCTTGGACAGTGAGAAGCAGAATCATTTTTTGAACCATATGGGAACCAAAAGAAGCAGTGGTTATCTAAACAAAGTTGATGGAGAAAATAGACATTGAAAAGGCCTAAATTCATTAAACTGGTTTCATTTGCAACAATGAATGGCTTGCTAATGTGTAGAAAAACATCTGTATCAAAATCCATACACTTGCCAATGGCAAAAAAAAATGGCCATTCTGCTTTGTAGTTTTCTTATCTTTGGCGAAATCTATTCCAACTAGTTTCTTAAAGGCATAAAAGAACTCACTATATGGACCTCCTAAGCATTCAGGAGTAAAATCCATTTCTCGTATCGTTATTCCTGCCCATGAACCAGGTCTGGTCCCAGAATAGTGTCTCAGAGACAGTCAGCCCCATAAAATATTTACTGAATCAATGAATGAATCAATATCTCAATATCAATATCAATATCAATATCTCAATCAGTCCTTACCACCCAAAATACAAATAAAAGAATAATAAAAAAAAGGGATTCTCTGAGATACAAGGCGAAGGCCCTCCATGGTGCATGCTGGTGAGGATGTAGCAAACAGGAGAAAATTATGCTCAGCGATCCCCAGAATTAAACTCAAGAACATAAAAATCCAACCTCACACACATGGTCTCCACACTGCAGACCTGGACACTGGCAACCAAGAACCAGAGAACCTCTCCCCCAACACACACACATGCACACACGCACACACGCACACTCACACACATGCACACTCACACACACACACTCACACACGTGGGTGCACCAGAGCTTCCGATGAGCCCCTTCCTGCCTTTGGGAAGCCTGCATTCCAGCCGCCTGCGATGGGGTGAATTGATGAGAGCATGTCCAAGAGCAACAGGGAACATCTGACTAAACAAGTGCGGCAGCAGCGGAATATCTATGGGGCCAGACAGCTTTCTTCACAGGGTCAAGGAGAAGGTGATTTTCTAGGGAGGGCTGGTGTACTGGCAAACGGGGTTTGAATTCTGGCTCTATCCCCTCGGTAGATAATCCTGACAAATTGCATACTCAGACTGCACCTCGGGCTCATCATTTGTAAAATAAGTATAATACCAGCTTTTACCTGATACAAAGGGAGGATTCATAAAGGTATCAGCCTAAAACGCGTTGCAACAGTGCCTGGCACATGGCAAGCACTCTATGTGGTTATTATTATTACTTTTTTCTTCCTGGTTCTTAAAATAAGTAGTAAGTGAACTCAGAGAACCACAACTGAATGCCATTTTCAAGCTCAGCTCTTCGAAGAACTGTGTGTAAACGCAGACACTGGGTGTAGAGTTGCTATTTGCCCTGCCCGCTTGCTCCTTGCCCATCATCCATCCATAGCACCCTCTGCCCCATGGAAGAGGAAAAGAGTAAGAAGAAAAAAACAACAACCCATACCTCCATGTCCCTTAAAACAAAATTAACATGACCGCAAAATCTCCTTTGACTGACTATGGCTCTTAACGTGGCCTGTTTCCTTTAGCTCTGAGTCGAAAGCCAGTTTCTTTGTTAAGTACTGTCAGAAATGTTCTTCGAACTATCGTGACCTGGAATTAACAGCAGTCGAGGACAAAAACCACAGGCAGACCCATGTTTCCTCAGAATGGACCTCCTTGTGTAAGAGCTTATGTGACACCAGCTCCCCTCCTCCCACTGGGTCCTGGCGGCCCCGGGCCACTGGGCTGTGGGTTATCGCGGCGGCCGGGCGGCAGCTCTCGGCAATTCCTCTTTAGTTCAAGGGAACCACTGTTCATCTCTGTGCTCTCTTGGCCCACAGCTCTGACCTGGAAAAGAATGGCATTTGGTTTTCTCCAAGCATGGCACATTCCAGGCCTCTCGAGTCATTTCACAAAAAGAGGCCTGAGTCCAGCAGGTCTGCAGGGAACACAGCAGCCATTCTGCCCTGACAAGGCAGTGGGGCCCCTTAATCAGAGAGGCGATGCCTTCCAGGCTACGTCTCGCTCTGAGTGCCCTCTCTGGTACAGGGGAGAACAACCCCAGCTAGCTTGCTGGGTACTAGGGTACTATCCAGTTTTAGCACCCCGAGTCTAAATCCAGGGAACCCCTCCACTCTGGACAAGCCAGGGTGGCTGTTCACCTTCTGATTGGTAACCACGGGGACAGTTCCCAGAGCCTGAGAAACCATCACACAAGCCCTGTACCGAGAGACAACTAACTGTAGGGCCATGCTTCAGTCTGAGTAACAGTAGGTTTATGCCCTGATAGGGGATGAATGGGCGGGCCTCTGATTCTGAGTATATGCTTTAAATGGTTCCTGTCAATTGCCTGTTCTATCCAGTTGATTCGATTCAATCCATACCTGCAAGGACACTGAGCATCTCTGCTGACCTCTGCGTCCTCCTCCAGCCTGGCAAACACAGTAGAGTGACGGTGACTGTAGAATTAGATTTCCCACTTTTCATTCCGCCTGCTTCCTGCCCCTGCTTGGACCTCATTGGCCAGAGAGGTTTTCTCCTCCCTATCTGTCCTTCTTGGATTGGTCCAGCCAGGCCTTAGGTGAGGGGTTCCTATCACTACAACATCTGCGTTAAAACTGTACATACCCTCTCAAGTCTTTGCCAGAGAATATGCACGCCTTATAGATGGACCATCACTGCCTCTCTAGACTAGCATTCAAGGAAGCTCTTGTCTTATTTCTAATTGTTACAGGTTGCGAAGAAGTTGTCCTTGAAGATGAATGAGGTTGACTTCTACGAGCCATTTATGGACGAGCCCATTGCCATCCCTGACAAACCTTACACAGAAGAAGAGCTCGTGGAGTTTATAAAGGAGCACCAGAGGTACCCCAGGTGGCATGCAGGGGGTGGGGGGCCTGGGGCCTGGGAAATGGAGAGGAGCCTCTCAGTCCTGACATCTCGCACCCCCAAGAGCAACTACCTGGAGTCAGCCCCCACAAAGATGAACTCAGTAGAATGGCTTTGTTGGTCATCCATCAGTGGCAGGGATGTTGCTACAGTTTCTGGATATGGGTCTGTCTACACTTGCAAACAGGTTTAGACCACCTCCCCTCAGTCAGCAAATCCCCTAAAAGTCAGAGTCAGATATAAATAAAAAATTTCAATAACAGCAAGAGTGATTTAGGGACAGCCTCCTATATGCCAATACCATGGTAGATGCTATGAGAGCTATTTTATCTAGTACAGGGGTGGGCAGGGTGGGCAAAAGTAGGTTTACAGTTGTGAGCATGCGAAAGTTTATTCTTGTATTATTATTTATTAGTATTATTTATTTGTATTACAACTGTAAACCTACGTTTGCCAAACCCTGCATTCAACATAATGGGGTAATTATTATTATCTCAATTTACAGATCAAGGAATTGGGCTCCGCGTAGTTAAATAACTTAGCCAAGATGAACATTCTGTATGCAGAACTGCTGGGAGAGGAATATTTGACACCACTTAGAGTAGCTCAAGCGTGGACCGGCGACCCTTTCCTGTAAAAGGCCGGGGGGTAAATAGTTCAGCTCCGCAGCCAGATGGTCTCTGTTGCAACACTCAGCTCTGCTGTTTCTGTGGGAAAGCAGCCGCAGCCAATATCTAAACAACGGGGTGTGGCTGTGTCCCAAAACGTTTATTTATAAAAGAGGAGGCACCGGCTGGATTTGGCTCTCCAGCTGCAATTTGCTGAGCCCTGCTCCTGAGGGAAGGGCAGTACTGAACATGGAACATGGTGGTGGGCTCACCATCAACCCCCCTCCCCCCCACACACACTGGACATGTGCTCACGCATGCTCATTGGACCTGGAGCACTACGATTCCATCAACCAGCCAGTCCTGGTCCCTACAGGGAGGCAGTACTCGGAGAAGCAAATAGCCACATTCTAGCACTATTAGCCAACATTCAGAAAGAAATGAAACCATGAGCAAAATATAGATCCCACCTGCTCTTCCAAACATCCTGAAGGGGCTTTGGATGGATGACCCTGAAGATAAAACAAAATCAAGACTTCCTCTCTTCCCTCCCAGGTGGCCTCATTCTGGGCCTTCTCTGGGCTCTCAGGGGTGGCGCCTGTCTGGGAGGAGGGAGATGACTTCTCGCCCTGGGAATGACTACCCTGCGCCCTCTGGCATTGTTTGTAATAGAACTATAATCCCTGGGCCAAATGGGTCTGTGAAAAGGCTGAGAGCATTAGGCCCAGCTCTCTGTGTGACCGGGCAGGGTACAGGGTTAGCTGTGGTGTCCTGAGAATACCTACTCAAGGAAGCTCATCTTCTTTATTTCCAGACCCACCCTCCGCCGCCTGCGCCCAGAAGATATGTTTGAAACATGGGTAAGACAGTGGCAAACTCCTTCTGCCTTGTAGAGACAGGTATATTCCCAAAGAGGAATACCCCTTTGAGTTCCAAAACTCAAACCAAGTTTTACTTGACTGGAGAGGATATCTAGATGGTAGAGTATTTGAAATGTGGACATCGCGCTCAGAGAACCCAGTTTTCTAGGTTCTAGTTTTTGCCTCTCTGGTGCTGCCGCTGGGCAACGTTACTGTGTCTCTGAGTCCACTCCCCCTGGGACCACTGGCCTCTGTGCACTGGCCGGAGGCCTGGGGGACACACAGGAGGAGCTGTGGAGTCAGAGACTTGGGTTCAAGCCTAGAATTGGACACCTCATAGCTTTGCATCCTACGTCAAGTCATGTGATCTTTCTGAGCTTTAGTTCCTGCATCTGAACTTAGGGCTTTTCCTAAGGATGGACAGTGTGAAGAGCCCAGAGCATGGTAGGTGCTCGATCAAGGAACGGCAGCTGTTTGTAACTATCAGCTGAGGGCACTGGGAAGCACTGGGTCAGAGTATCCTCAGGTCTAAGTCACAGACAATGCGTCAGGCGGGTCAAATAGCATGAGAAAGAGGGTCATGGAGATACAACCTCCCACCCACCTCAGATTTATACAAAATTCATAAACGACAACAACCGAAGTCTGTGGCGCATTTTCCAAAGCATTTCATGGATCCTTTCACTCAGGTCTTTGAGTGGTTCTAGAAAGTGCTGAAGAACAAGTATTATTTTAGCCCCAGTTTACCTGGGGAAACTGATCATATGGATGAGGTTGATTACTCACGAATACATAACTAATAAGCACTAGATCTTGGGACTTAAATTTAAATCATCTACAGCCAAATCACACATTCTCGCCATTATACCTCCCTAGAATGGGCCGTGGCCCCACAAGGCACCATTTTGGCAGTGGGGGTGTGGGCGGGAGGGGAAAGGGGCTAATGTGGGAACACGTATGCATGTATTTATGTTTTTAATCTTTAATTCAGAGTTGAAAGTGACGTGTGAAGAGAGCCATGGAGTAACTTGACACTCTGTTTAATAGCATGTCACTCATTTGGACGTTTGAACAGGGAACAAACATTTCATAAGACGCTGAAGGGAAATAACCCAGTGTACAGGCGTGGACTGCTTGGCAACAACACAGCACATAGAAACCTATTTCCCTAACATTCCAAACTTTCAAAAATTCAACCTTTAAAATGTTTTGTTATTAGATTTAAATACTGTAACAGTGCTTTAAAAATAATACTCCTTTTAAAATATTTTTACTTTTTACTTAATATAACTTCAGCCTTATAAAAAGTAGTGCAAGGGTTAGGGTTAGGGTTAGGGATGGGAGTCAGCAATTCCTTCTAGAATCCTCCCTGTGTTGCAATAACTAAGTAATTCCAAGAGGGAGTCAGAAACCTCCAGATGAGCCTCTGAGACACTCCTTTGCACCAGGGAGTCTGCTACTTTTAACTGCATTTTCCTTCTTTGCATCTCTTTATTCAACATGAGAACAAACATTCAACAGAGGCTGGAAGGAAACAGCCAAATCTGAACAGTGGTAATCTACCTGGTTGGTGGGTAACTGATGTTACTTTCTTCTTGGAATCTCTAATATTTGCTAATTTTCTTCAAGCAGTATGAAAGATTTTTATCACCATACTCTTTTTAAAAATCCAATAGGTATTAATAAGAACCCATTACCTTGTGCTAAGCACAGAGACTATAAATGAACATTGCTGTCTGGGCCTTAGGAGTTCAGGCCTGAGTCGATGAAACAGTCTCGAATCACGTGACCCCAGACCAGGATGCTCCCTGCTGTGACAGAGGTCATACAAAGTGCTGGGGAGTCCAGAGTAAGGTATTCACCTAAGTAACTCCCAAGCTCCAGTTTTGGGGGGTCTGGTGTTGGGTCACATTATATAAAGGCCCCTTCTCAGACTTTTTCAACTTAAGTAAGAGCCACTGACCTGAGTTTGCAGCATCTTCTGCAAACCCTGTAGAGAGGACAGCAGATTCCTGAGCTCATTCTGTGCTGTTGGTGACGTCAAGGAGCAGAAACTTGTTCCTCCACCCTCTTAGGCTCAGTACTGGAGGCCTGCAAATTAAAGTGACAAAGAACAGATTAGTATGAGAAAAAAAAACAAATAGATTTAATTACCTACTTCTGTATGGAAGTTCACAAAAAATTCGACTCAAGGGGGGGCTTAAAAAAAAGAGAGGCTTATATGCCATCTAAAATTTAGACTCCAAATAGAGGATGGGGAGGGGCAGGGGCCCTTCTGGGAGAACAGACTTTTTGGAAAGATAAATGGATGCTTGGGAGAAGAAATGGGAGACAGGATTGTCTGTTTGAGAAGAGTAGAGTTGCACTTGGGAAAGGATTTATGACAATTGAGTTCTTTTAAGAGGCTCTGCATTTAGGCAAATAAGGGATTTCAGGAATTCACATGCCTTCGGCTCTGAATAATTTGTATGCCCGTGGCTTTTCCTGGCCTACGTCAGTGAGGGAGAAAGAGCATGGGCTTCGGGACCAGGCAGAGCTGGCCTGAACCCCAGGTACGTCATGTACGGGCTCTGTGTCTTTAGGGAAGTTGGTTCAATTCCTTAAGCATTAAACAGGAATGAGACTTGCATCTAAGACTTAGAAGTAATGCACTTACAAAGCACTGACACAAATGGCAGATATTCGTATCGTCACTTTAATCACCCTTGATAGTTCAAGGTGTAATCCCTTCCCTCAGAGAGCTTGCCATTCAAGTAAAAAGATCATTTCCGAGACAATGTGATCTAAAGACCAAAGGGGTGATCTGGGCGGCCAAGGATGTGGGGTTCAGAGAAAGCCCCTGACTGGCCGGTCCATCAGCTCTTCCTCGCCTTGTGTGTGGGGTACGCACTGAGGAACCCTGACCTTCAGGCTTGCCTGTGGGTCTGCTCTGGGAGCCTATTACTGAAAATGCCCGGCACAGAGCACACGCCTGCTTCTTTGCCAAGACAGAGGCTCTTTCCCTGGGTTACAGTCTCCATCCGGGGAACACCTGAGGCCTGGGAGGTGGCGGCCATGTCATGCGCAATCTCTTAGCAAACAGATATGGATTCTTAATTCCGAAACCAATTTCCAAATGCGTTCCGGAAGGGCAGGCAGAAATGGAGCCCGCTTCTCGGAGTTAACACGGCTGCCTCCCCACGGATGGCAGGAGCAGGGACAGGGCAGCCTACTGAGAACCGACCAGGGCATCCTGCCTGGTGATAATAGCAAACATGAAACCTCAGACTCCCCTTCCGGCTGCTGTCAGATTTGTGTAATAAACCTGCACACACACACACACACACACACACACCCCACAGATCTATCAAATTCAATTCCCCGGAGAACCTGACCAAGGCAGTGCCCGACTCTCTTGTTTCTAATAATAATATTTTCCATTTAATCTTGCTCAGAATTTTTGGAGGTTTTGTCCATTTCCAACTCAAAGGAAAAAAATTAGCATTTAGATAGGATTGCACCAGCATTACAATCCATTGAGATGGAAACGGGACCAGGGAGGGCTGAGAAGCCTGGAGTATTGTTTCCTGAGGACGGTTCTGATATGACACTCAGGTGCCCCGGGATGCCCTCTCCCCGGGACAGTGATAGTCAGCGTCCACTCAGATCTGTCCCCGTGCCTCTCGCTCGAGCATCGTCCCCTCCGAGCCTCATGAGGGTCACATTTCTTACAAAGGAGGCGCCTCCAAGCTCTCGCTGGCTATTCTGCAGGAATGATCGATGCAAAGGAGACACGAGGCATGTGGTCCTTTCTGTCCAGGACATAGAAACATGGAATGCCACCTGCTTGTCCCACAGATTTGAAATATTCTCACTTTTCACCATCACACCCTCACCCTTGCCCAGCCCCATCTCCAGCCCCTCCGGTGGCCTCCCACACTGAGACCGAGTTAGAGGCCTGGACGGTTCCGGCAAGCTCTGGTTCCAGAGCCAAAAGGAGCCCAAGGAAACGCCCTAGGAGTGGCAGGCAGCAAAGCGCCCCCTACTGACCACGCAGGTTCTTCAATAAGTGGGGTCTCAGAGAAGCAGAACACATGCGTGAACAGAACAGACCCACATCCTAATTTGCCTAAAGATTCCTGTCTGCTGCCCATTTGGGGACAGCGGCAGCATCCTCCAGCAGCATCCAGAAGCTTCCATATCGGGTCTATTACTGCTTTATTTGCTCGTGGTGACTTCTTGAAACTCAGACTGACATTCACTGAGCTCCCTTCAGAGGGCTGATGAGCCAGACTCACATTCTTCCTCCTCTGCCTCTTCCTGCTGCTCCCCTGGACCCACCAGACCACGGGAGTGAGGCCCATTCGGTGCTAATGTCTTGTGTGTAGTTAGTGCTTTCCTGTCTCAAAAGCCCGTAAATGCCACACCTTCCTCCCAGTTGCTCATCAGTATTCCCTTCCTTAGGATGCATGCTGCTCTGTCACCTTGTGCCTCTATGTCCCCCCGTGTCTCTGTCCCCCTGTGCCTGTGTCCCCCTATACCTCTGTCCCCCTGTGCCTCTGTCCCCCTATACCTCTGTCCCCCTGTGCCTCTGTCCCCCTGTGCCTCTGTGTCCCTGAGCCTCTGTCCCCTGGGCCTCTGCGTCCACTCCCCTCAGCTCCCTCCCCCACCTCCATTTCAATTCCCGCCTGCCTGCCCCTGCCTCCTCGCATCTCTCACCTGGGAGTGTAACCTTTCACTCCTTTCTCCCACAGGAAGACGACTTGAACGGGATCCACATAGTGGCCTTTGCAGAGAGGAGTGACCCAGGTAGGACCCCTCCCCCTTCCGTCTGCTCTCTGACCCTGTAGGCAAGAACTGGCTTCTCACCTTGGTCAGCCCTCACCTTTTCTCTCCCTCACTTTCCGCCTGCAAGGCAACCGAAAGACACCGGGCACCCCCTGGTGGTCGCCTGCGAGGCACAGACCCATTTCAGTCGTGCACAGCTCACAAGTGTGGGGAGATCAGAGCCTCCTGCTGCTTAGCTGCCCAAACTGGGGCTGAGCCCGGGTGAACATAAACACAGCCTCACTCTACAGCAGTGGTTCTCAACCTTCCTAATGCCGCACCCTTTAATACAGTTCCTCATGTTGTGGTGACCCCCAACCATAAAATTATTTTCGTTGCTACTTCATAACTGTAATTTTGCTACTGTTATGAACTGTAATGTAAATATCTAATATGCTATGTGTTTTCTGATGGTTGCGACCCACAGGTTGAGAACCACTACCTACAGGCAAGTGTGGGAGTGCACGCACGTGTGTGTGTGCATGTGCGTGTGCGTCTGTGAAAACTTCTGTTCACATTAAAAGCTGATGTACCTAGCCTATATAAATAACAATAAATATACCCTTTGCTCTGTCAAATATGGCCTGTGCTTAGGAAACTTAATGGAAATATTGCCCCAAATAAAGAAGCAGGCGATTTCCAAAGTGTAAAAAGAGCCTATAAATGGATGAGAACTTGGACAGCTCTTTCCTGGCTCCACGCTTCGCCATGTCAGTGAGAGCGAAGTGCAGGAAAACCAGTGGACAGGCGGTAAAAGGCTAGTCCCTGGGCAATGTCTGTGGACAGAGGGCCCGGAAGGGAACGTGTACGTGCAGATTCTGAGGGGTGTTTTGAGAGACGTGGAATGATCCAGAATGCGGCCAGAGAAGGCGGGGGCTTCATTTCTGAGGGCGAAGCAGCCAGGCCTTGGGCTCTGAGGCCTGGGCAGGGGTTCCGAAACCTGACAGGGCAGAGAACCACAGGCACCACGGCCACTCGGCCGACGGGAACGGAGCCTCGGGCACCTGCAATGTCACAGAGCTCTGAGGCACGTTCTGAGGCTCCACCGGGCTTGGGAGCCACTGCTCCGGGGGATGAGGAGCTCTGTGGTGCTCAGAGGGTCTGAGCCTCTTGGACGTGCATAGGGACAGATGAGGAAACAGCCTCGGAGAAGAGAAACTGCCCCAGAGGGCACCAAGAGTTAGCAGGACTTCCTGAAGGAGGAACAGACTGCCCCGCACGGGCCTTGACACACAGTAGGTGCTCAGCAATACCGCCAGGCAGATGACTGACCAACCGCCATAGTCCCCTACAGACAAAACCCCGACTGTCTTTACCATATAATTTTAAAAGATGAGATACAATCCACATGCCACTGTTCACCTTTTTTAAAGTGTGCAAGCCGGTGGTTTTAGCACATACACAAAGTTGTGCCAACAGCACCCCTGTCTAACTCCAGAACATTTCATCACCTCAGAAAGACATTCCATACGTGTCAGCAGTCACCCCCTGGCCTCTCCCCCAGCTCCTGGCAACCACTAATCTAATTTCTGTCGCTATGGATTCGACTGGTCTGCACATTTACATGGGATCATGTAGTATGTGGCCCTTTGGGGGGGGGGGTCTGGCATCTTTCACTTATCGTAACGTTTCAAGGTTCCTCCTTTATGTGGTGTGTATCCATACTTTGTTCCTTTTCAGGGCTAAATAATATTCCATTGTATCACAACCAAAGCTATGCTCCAAATGATCTGACAGCGTGTCCCCCCCCACCTCCTAGTTTTATTAGAGTGTTTGAATGTCCACGATGTCCCAGTTTCCCCATCACTGACTTGCAGAGTTGGAAAAACTCTTCAGAAATATCTAGCCCTTGTTTAAAAAAAAAAAAAAGCAAGCCAGTGTGGTTCCAGCTTCTTTCTACAGCTTCTGGCTACCCCTCCGCCCCTGGAGGAGACACCAGCAAAGGAGGCCAAGTGCCCAAGGTGGACAAGCTTCAGTGAAACAGAATCGGCTCCCTGGTGCTGTGAACAGAGATGCCATCCATGGGCAGCAGCCTGCTGGCCCCACTCCAGGGCCCTCCTCCCATCCCCACCCCCTTCCAGGCTGTGGGGAGGCCCGTCTGGCTCTTGGGAACAATGGAACAAAGGGCCTCGAGAAGCTGCAGGAACCTGTTTGACCGAGATTGCTGCCGATGAATCAAGCTCCTGAAACTCTCCACCTCCTCCCTGCACAAACATCCCTGGGCCCGAAGCCGGCTTTCCCAAGCCAGGGCTTGTTCCTGGGAAGCTGGGGGCAATGCGCGGGGTGGGGGTGGAGGAGCTCAAAGCATCTTTTTTCAAGGAGGGAGGCCCTGTCCGCTCGGCCCTGAGAAAGGGAAAGGGTTTTCCGGGCAAGTCTCTGCCCCCCGGCTGGTCCGTCATTGCCCGCGGGTCACTGAGGCGTGAGCCTGGTGGAGAGGCCGGGCTGCGGACTAGGAACTGTATTCCTGCCCGGACAGCGGGTCCTCCTCTACCTCAGCTCTTGCTAAAAAGAAACACGTGGCCTATGGCCCCAACCGAAGCCCTGCCACTCTGCAGGGAAAGGTGACACCTTCGGGGGCATGAGACCCCCAGCTCCTTAGAGAGCTGCCAGTCTGGAGGAAGGTGCCGGGGGCTGTAGGGCGAGGATCCCGTTTGGTCCCTGAAGCCATCCGTGACCTCTGCACCATTAGGAAGAAGACGAGGATGTGGCCACTTCCTGTGTGCATGTGACAGGACAACCTCGTGCACCGGAGGGGCGAGTTTTTCCCCCATTTTACGCCAGAGGAACCTGAGGCCGGAGGGGAGAGAGAGGCGCAGCGGGCACGCGGGCCTGGGTTTCTTGGTGGTTCCCTCGGTCTCACAGGCACGTGCCTCTGACTAACGGAGCCCTGGCTGCCGACCTGGCTGTGACCTGCCTGGAACCGGTCCCCGGGGCCCGGGGCCGTCTCTTTCCCACCAGCCCCGGCCACCTGGGAGGGAGGAGCGCGTGGTCACCGGGTCCTTCCCACAGGGACGGGGCTCCCAGAGGCCTCCGCCCGCCGTGGGAAACCTGGAACCTGGCTGCGTGGGAGCCCTCGGCCGGGTCATGGGAGCGCAGGTCCGCGCCGTGGGGCAGGGAGCCGGCTCGGTTCCCACAGCGCGGCCTCTTTATTTAGCTCCGTCTCCGTCTCCGAGGCTCCGGGCTCACGCAGGAACGCGGCTGCGGGAGGCTGGGCTCGGGCACAGGTCAGAGGGGGAGAGCAGTCCGATGGCCTCGGGGGGAGCAGCACCCCCAAGGCCCCACCTGCACCCCTGGCTGTCTCCTCGCCCGAGCCCTTTGACCCTCACACTGCCGCTCGCACCCCCGGCACCTCCGGCACCAGCCGAGGCGGGAGCGCCCAGGCCCCGGCGGAAACGGGAACCGGCTGCAGCTGTGCAGACCCAACACCTGCAGCTCAGCATCCCGGCTCCGCCATGTGCTGGCCCGTGACACTGGGCAGGTCACGCACCCTCCCTGTTGTCCCTTTAAGATGGAGATAACAAAATCCTCCGACCCTCCATCAGACTCAATGCAAAGATTAAATGCAAAAGTACTCGGAACCCAGAAAGCGCTCGGTAAATACTCAGAACATCACAGAAGGGGGCGTGGGTCTTTAAGAGACAGGAATCGGCCCCCCTGACCCACCTGAGCGAGGCTCTCACAGGCGCCCCGGGTGCCTCAGTCCCCGAGTCGGAGCAGGGACCGGAAACCTCCCACGCGCCCTGCGTGGTGACGTAACTTCCGGTGCGCGGGACTTCTCCCCTGTGCGGGCCTAAGCCGGCCGTAAGCCGCCCCTGTGCTCGGAATGTAAACATTGAATGAACCGGTGGATGGCAGGTTCCTTGCTTTCAGGTGGAAGAACTCGGATCATTTGAAAATAATGGCCAGCCCTGGCCGGTTTGGCTCCATGAATAGATTCCGGCCCAGGGCACGTGCCTCGGTTGCAGGCTCGATCCCCCGCCTGTTCGGGTGCGTGCGGGAGGCAACCAATAGATGTGTCTCTCTCACATCCGTGTTTATCTCCGTCTCTCCCCCTCCCTTCCACTCTTCCTAAAAATCAATGGAAAAGGTATCCTCAGGTGAGGATTAACAAACAAACAAAAGTGGCAAAAGCTTACTGTGCGCCAGGTACTGCCTCAGGGCCTCACAGATACTAACTCATCTAAGTCACAACCATCCTGTGACATAGGTGCCATTATTATCATCACCCCCTTCATACAGATGATGGACAAAGACATGAAATAACTTGCCCTAAGTCACACGGTAAATGGCAGATCCAGTATTCGGACCAAGGTCATTTGCCCCAAGCGTCCCTGTGTTTCAGCCTGGGCTGCCCCCGTCTGTCCTGGAACATTTCCGGGTGCAGAGGGATTGTGCCCACGTAGAACTCATCGTCCTGAAAGTCAGAGGCTGCTTTGGTTCTGGATGTAATTCTCCGCCTCTAACGTCAACTTCACTTATCAATAAACTCTGTGCATGCTTTTTGAGCTTTCCTTGCACCTCTGTAGACCCCCAAACCTTTGGCATTCTTAAACATAGGCAGTAAGCCCCAATTTTGACTTCTCCTGTTTATGTAACAACTCCAATCCACTTGATTTTTCTTGCAGAAACCAAATTTTTTAATTATATTTTTATTGATTTCAGGGAGTAAGGGAGAAGGAGAGAGAGAGAGAGAAACATCAATGATGAGAGAAAATCATCGATCGGCTGTCTCCTGCATGCCTCACTGTGAGGATCGAGCCAGCAACCTGGGCATGTGCCCTGACCAGGAATCAAACCGTGACCTCCTGGTTGACACTCAACCACGGGGCCATGCTGGCTGGGCTTGTAGAAACCAATTTTTATCCCTTCGATCTTTTTTGAAATCTCCAAACCTGCTCTAGAATGCAGAATAGGAAAGGTTCTTGTATGTAGCATAAAAAAAAAAAGTAATCCCGCCATTATGGTTTTTCCCATCAGAAAACAGCACCGCTGTCCTGCGTGTGTTCAGCCTCAGTTCCACTCGTGACCTTATCCGCCACCATACGTGTGCCTACACAGCCCCTCCCTCCCCTCTATGGGAATTGGCCTTTTGCACCGAGGGTGTACTTTCCACTTGGATTTGGGTCTGTGTCGTTGAATGTCATCTTCTCTGTGCATTTCTGATTTGTCAAGGTCTCTTAAAATTGGTTCTCCTCTCCCAACTACTGGCAACATCACTTCCTGTATCACCCTCCCTTCTTCTCCGCTGCTGAAAGCAGGCACTGGAGGTGTTTGGGAGGAATTCCCCCTTGTGGTCTGTGTAGTCTGCTCCATAAATCCACAGGGAACCCAGGGGGCACCAAGTTCCCCGGCCTATGACACAGCAACGTGCCCGGAAGAGAAGGATCCGTGGTGCCCAGATGGCGGCAGCCAGGGGCCCTCTGGGAGCTTGACACTCTCGGCCACACCGCGGGCTGCAGGAGGAAGAACCCCCGTCCCACCTCCACCCCAACCCCCGAGTGGTGGATAATGAACTCTCCGGCACATGGCCCTGTGGTCTCACCCAGGCCGCCCTCCTCTCTGCTGCTGGGTGGGGAGGGAGGGAGCTGCGGGCCGTAGAGACCCTCCTCTCTGCTGACAGGAGCCCTGCTTTCCAGGTGATGAGGCCCGAGGGGCCGTCTCAATCTTATGAACTAACAACATTGAAAGTGACTACACCCACGCAGGGCAGAGCTGCTAAGAATAGCGTGCATGTTGCCTGGAATGTGAGAAAATGAGGAAGTGTTGAGAAAAACCTTTACCCAGAGGCCCCAAGTAGCCAAACAAAGGCCTGGGTGCCCTAGAAGGGAGAGGCTTGTTAAGCAGAGGCCGGAGAGAGGGGCCTGAGTGGCTGGGGGCCGCCAGCAAAGAGGAAACCTTTACAAAGAAGGGCGGTTGCCATACTGAATTCCTACGCAGCTGGTGAGTGGCTGTACAGAAGGTCCACATTTCAGGCCACAGAGTCAGCCACGCGAGAACCGTAACCTCATAGTCTAGACCTAAACCTACATTTGACCCCTGGATGGTGGAACCTGGGCCTGTCAGTGAGGGGTCCCCCACCCCTGCCCATCAAGCCCGGGGCCACCGTCCCGCTGGCTCCCAGGCATGGACAGGCGAAGTCATCGTCATCGTCGCCTGTCACAGTGGCATCTGTCATTCAGTCTGGCCTCCAGCTTTGTCCCAAGGTCACCAGCGGCTCCTCCGTCCAGCGGTTGGATCTGTCTCCCCTCTCAGCTTCGCCCATGATCCTCAGAACCACAGAGAAGAGGGCAGGTCCTGACTTGCCTGCCCTGGTGGGGGCTGGGGTGGGGATGGGGGGGTGGAGTTCTCCCAGAGAATCTGGGTCTTCCACTTTCCCTGAGTTTTAGTCCAGATCAGAGCATGGGTGCCCAATATTCTAGGACTCCCTGAAATTATGGCATTTCTGTATGTGGACAGCGAGGCTCGCATGGGCCTGCGTTCATGTGTACAGACCTGTACACACGCATGCGTGCACACACACACACACACACACACACACACAGGCTTATTCTCAGGGACTTTCCAGAGTCTAAACTCTGTTTCCAGTTGGGAGTGGGGTGGGGTTGCTGAGGCTTTCTCTTACTAAACATTCTTCCAACACGCTTGTTTATGGTATAAATTTTGTTGTGTGCAGTCCTGCAAGATTTAAGCTTTTAAAGCAAAAAAAGAAAAGAAGGAAATCTGTGTTCTTGAAACTCACAAGACAGGGTCTGCTTTTCCTATGAATCATCCCTCCCCCGGGGGCAATGAGTGCTGCGGCCTGACTGAGGCGAAGCACAGCCCACACGGAAATGGGGAGGGAGGGGCACCCCATTTGCTTCTCAAACTATGAAACCAGCTCTAGGTCAGGAGCCGCCTTCGTCGGAAGGTTTTAAGGATTCCAGGCGCAGAAAACCCAGGGTCCAGGCTCCATGTCCTGGTCCCAGAGCACAGTCGTGGGGAAACTGAGGGATGGCAAGGTGCTGGTTTCCGGAGCCACCCCGAGGGCTGAGTGAGGACCAGGCCGGTGGGTCCATCTTCACCTGCAGGTTAGCGATCCGATCAGAGCTCGGCTTTGCGTTACGAGCCAGCCACTTCCTTGTGAACTTTTCATTTCTTTACTCAAAAACTTTATTGTTTCCTTTGAGTAAGCTGCTTTGTGGCAGGGTTCTCCTCTGACTCATTTTATAGAATAATCCTATAATTTGAGGGTACGCAGCCAATGGCTTAAGAAACCCTCATGGAAAAACCGCAGCCTCTGCCGTCCGTGCTGAGAGCCATGTAGGCACGGGGGTTACTCACCTTCTTGATCCGGCTGCAGATGGCTACGAGTTCCTGGAGACCCTGAAACAGGTGGCCCGGGACAACACCGACAACCCGGACCTGAGCATCATCTGGATCGACCCGGACGACTTCCCTCTGGTGAGTGGCTCAGACCCAGGCCCGGCCGTGGTCGCCGTCACAGTCTCATGCTTGGGGTGGTATGAGGGCCTCTCATGTGAAGGTGGATATGAAACAGGAGGGGCACTTGCATAAACTCAATGGCCACTCCCATCCAGTGGGGGAGATCTTGGCCACTGGGGTAACATTGACCTTGGGGCCTGGTGCTGACCCTGACGTGGTTAGATATATTTGTTCTCACTCCCTGGAGACCAGAAGTCTCAGCTGAGCTGGTGAAATGCTTCTACCAGCAGCCCCCTAGCTGCCTGCAGCCAGCCCATTACCACCCACTGCTGTAGCCTCTCTCATTTTTCTGGGTGGGGACCGTGGTTCCGAGGCGACCCAGGTCCTAAGTGATGAGAACCAGACGTGAACTCTTTGCATAGAGCCCAGAGCTGCACGGGGAGGAGAAGCAACCTCTCCAGGGCAGGGACCCTGTCTCCGTCAGGTTCTCCCAGGTCCTGGCCTAGTGTCCAGCCCGGGATTAGCGTGCGTCAGAGCCTTAAAGTCCGAACTCTTGCTGGTGTCAGCGATCAATGAGCAGCAAGCTTCGGTTGTGCTTGGTTTAAAGAGAATAAGCAGAATTTGGACAATGCACAAGCCCAGTGGTGACGATCATGAATGTAGCTGCTGTGTACTGTAGGCCTGGAACTAGGGTAAGTTCTTCACCTGTATCACCTCGTCTAATCCTCTCAACACCCTGTGAAGTGGGGACTATTATAACCCCCGGGTCACAGAGGACAGGAACGGCAGCTGGAGAGGTCAACACAGTGACTGGTCGGTGTGATGTTCCAACCCAGGTCTAGGTGATGCCAAAGCTTCGCCGGTCAGTCAACAGACCTCAGGTTGCGCTAAGTGCTGGTCATCAGAACACGTTTCATAGGTTATAGATGGCAAGTCTAGCTTCTTCCAGGAGTTACCGTTCGGTGCATAGGCCAGGACTGGTCGTGCTATGGTTAAACAGACAACACCGAGGGGTTTTAGTGATCGCAACCAAGGCAGGGACTTCCGTGACACCTGAGGCCAATGCCATCATTTCGGGCGATTGTAACAAAATCACGGCCCTGTGTATGCTGTATGCTGTGACTTTGGCCACGGCCCGAATGCGTTTCTAATTTATCGGGACTGTTTGGTTACGCAAGCTTGCGGATGGTCTGCAGCTCTGACCTGCTCTATACGTTTGCCTTGCTTTTTGCAAAGGAAAAACCTCAGACTATTCTGATTTCCAGGGCCTATCGGGCTATATATTGGCTTGGGAGACTTTCCACCACAGAACGCCTCCGTTTTTAGCCCATGGCCCCCCATCCGTTAGTCCCACCCCGTCGGAGATCAGCCCACATGCCTGGCTGAATGAAGAGGCACGCTTCTTACTTGTATGCCAACTGACAGAGCGTCACTGCTTTCTCAGCGACCTCACGGGCAGGGTGGCGCAGCGTAAGGGGTTTTTAAATGGGGCGTTGAGAGAGGCGCAGGGAAATCTCTCCCACCACATAAACTATAAAGAGCCCCAAGTAATTTGGGGATCAACTTTAGACCACCTCTGCAACGCTCCCCCCTACAGCTGCACACGCGTCCACATGACACGTTTCATGGTTTGTTATGACATCCTTTCTTCCCGTGCTGATTTAAAGGGCTGAGGGCTGGGCAAGTCTTCAATTTCTTAAGTGCCCACAGCTGTTGGGAGCCCTTTACCCAGCGGTGACCTAGTTACTATGATGGGATGGCAGGTGGGGGCACCACAGAAAGTGATTTTAAGGGAATGCCCTGCCCTGTCCCGCCGTCTAATTTTACCTTCTGTTGCCACAGCTCATTGCCTATTGGGAAAAGACTTTCAAGATCGACCTATTCAAGCCGCAGATTGGGGTGGTGAACGTGACAGATGTGAGTACTCCCCGTGGAAGCTTGCCCAGGCCCCCGCGGCCGGCCCCGTGTTCTGTGAGCAGCCTTGACCGTGAGGTCCGCAGGGAGTCCAGTCCCTCATAAAGGAGCAGGACCCTGGGCCCTGCCCAAGCTCAGTGTGGCCCTCGCCTCGTCTCGGAGCCAGTCCCAACCTATGATTTCCTGGTTCCCTTCCACGGCGCATGTCCTTGCTTATGGGGCCAGCCTGACCTGGGTCACGGCCTATTTGGGAATAAGCCCCCCTGTACTTTCTTCCAATGCCCCGAAACAAGGTCTCTTCACACAATGGACCCCGCACTTGGAGCTGCCATTGCAGGGGGATGGTGGCCCGTCCCCTGGCACCAGGTCGCAGACAGGAGACAGGGTCACAGGAATCGGGAGGAAGCCATGGGGTGGTGGGGCTTCTCCTCACCATCCAGGCCCCACTGGCCCGAGGCGGGGGAGGCTAGTGAGGAGGACTGGCCGAGCCTGAGGAATGGCAGACCTCAGGCCAGACATCTGATGCAGCTCCACACAACACCACACAGGGGACAGACACACCAGGCAGACGGGTAATGGGCGGAAAGGGATGGTCACAGAGGATCCATCAGAGCCACAGCTAACTGGAGCCGACGCGTGTGAAGGGGGCCCGTTAGCCATTCCTCTCGCCCTGTCGGCAGGGTCCAGTCAGCTGGGGAATTCTACACTGACGTATTTTGTAAACTAGTTTTTATATTAATAATAATGTCAACAATTTGCTCAAGTTGAAACACTTCAAAACAACAGTAGGATATAAGGTGAAAAGCAAAAACACTGCACTGTCGACCTCATCCTAGTCCGATCCCTGCGGGAAACGTGGGTGGTAGTTTCGTGGCTATCCTACCAGAAATGTAATCCTATATAAGAAAGAGCTAATATGCTAATTAGACCGAACAGCAGAACCACTGTCTGGATGAGGCCAGGGCTGAGAGGGCCGAGTCCCTTGCACGAATTTCGTGCATCAGGCCTCTAGTATATAGAAAATAGAATATGTAATTGAGAAGTAGAAACTGGTAGTTACAAAACAGTCACAGGAATGTAAAGTACAGCACAGGGAATAGTCACTAATATTGTGATAACCATGTATGGTGCCAGGTGGGGATTGGAAATACAATCCCCAAGTACACGATCAACTACCCACTACGCTGCACACCTGGCCCCAACACGGAAGACTGTTAAGACAGTAACAAAGACGAAGAGCCACATGTTACCAGTAGTATCAACTCATGAGCAGCACCGGATTTCATTAATCAATTAAAATCGTTAAGAATGGGATATAGATGCTGTTAGGTAGGGATCTATATAACAGCCGCGTGGGGCCCTCGGCTCTGACGCGGCCGCGTGCCTCGCTCACTGCCCCATCCTGCCCCTCCCCGCAGGCCGACAGCGTCTGGATGGAGATTCCGGATGACGACGACCTACCCACGGCCGGGGACCTGGAGGACTGGATTGAGGACGTGCTTTCTGGAAAGATAAACACCGAGGAAGACGACAAGGAAGATGATGATGACGATGATGATGACGACGATGGCGACAGTGATAATTCTGATGAGGAGGAGAATGATGACAGTGACGATGATGACGACTAGCTCCGGCTCCACCTGGTTTTGATGGAAACGGAATCCCGGCTCCCCCCTTCCACACGGCCAGCACCAGGTGGCAGCCAGCAGCCCCGGCCACGCCCAGCCACTCCTCTCCCTCTCCCAGCATCTCTTCCCACCCCTTCCCATCAGGAGCTGTACCATTCAGCACATGCACGTGCCTTTCTAAATCCAGTCGCCCTGCTCGGCAAGGACAGGGGGGAACCGTTCCCCTGTGGATGGTCCTGACCGTCACGGGAAAGCTCTGCTCTCTGTCCGCCATCCGTGGCCATGGCAGCGCTGGACTCTGGGTGGTCCAGGGAGAGCCCTCCCCTGACACTGATACTCAAGTTTACTTGTGTCCTCTGACTCCGACAGGGACAGAATGGACAGCTTGCTAACTCGCCAACACGCAGTGGCCGTATCATCATCAGAGCCCGGGGAAGACACACAATTAATCCTGCGGCCCGTGCCTGGCACATCGGTGAGACCCTCGTAGGGGAGGCTCAGCCTTGGAGACAGGCTTATGAGGCAGCTTCTCTTGGCTCTATGAAGCTTATTCTTCAAGTGAAGGTCAGACCATGATGAGCGCAGATCGAGCCTTTGGATGGCCATCGAGAGGCCTTGTTCAAGCGCATGTGGATGGATGTCACCATCACTTCCAGTATGTGCGGCACTAGGAGGGAGGTTAACGTGCTCTCTGAACTTCCCTTGCAATGGTTCTCAACCTGTGGGTCGCCATCCCTTTGGCAGTCAAACGACCCTTTCACAGGGGTCGCCTAAGACCATCCTGCATATCAGATATTTACATGACGATTCATAACAGTAGCAACATTGCAGTTATGAAGTAGCAACGAAAATAATTTTATGGTTGGGTCACAACATGAGGAACTGTATTTAAAGGGCCAGAAGGTTGAGAACCACTGCCTTAGGGACAAGTCTCACATAGGGGAGGGGGAGACGCTGAGAGAATGAAAGGATTTTATTTTTTCTGATGGGTCAGGTGGCTTCCTAGCCTGAGCTCGGGTCTGGACACCCCCTCCCATTTGGAGAAAGGGTTGGTTTATCCAGAGGTCAGTTAACCCTGCTTTCATCAGCACTCCCACAGTTGACCAGGACAGTAAACAGAGTTCATAGCGATGCCCCGAGGCACTAAAATAAACATGCCCAAGTGCCTTCAGAACTCTCTAAAAGTTATATCGTGCTCGGTAGTTTTAGCGTTAAGTTTGAATAATAATGTTCTAATTTATTTTCTCAATCTTTTGACATGTGTAAGACACTGCAAATTCTTCAAAAATAGGGCAATCCTTTTATGGAATACTAGCTAACTAACTGTCATTAAAGTCATATCTTGAAAATATTAAAACTGTCTCTTCTCTTTTTTTTTTTTGGAGAATTTTTATGAGTTCATTTGAGCCAAACTGATGGCCAATGCCGAGGAACAAGACCCAAAAGCTCCCTAATATTAAGACTATCTTGGAAATCCTCTCTCTCCCTCTCTCTCCCTCTCTCTTTTCAGTTTTCCTTCCTGGCCTTCCTTCCTCTGCCCACCCTTTAAATACTAGTGTTTCCCGTATCTCAACTCTTTCTGACATGTTTCTAGGGTAGGATCATCCATGCCCATCAGCCACCACCTATGTGCTAATGACTTCCATGTCTGGGTGGCTAACCTTGACTTAGACCCATTTATTCAACTGCTCTTGGACATCTTGGTTTGGATGTTGTACAAACGCTTCAAACAACGTACCAAAACCCAAGGCCATTACCTTCTCTCCTAGGGTTCCCCTCCTCCTCTTAGTGGAGCCCCAGTTTGGATGAGTGATGTCACCATCTATCCAGTTGCCTAGGTCAGTGGTCGGCAAACTGCGGTCCCTTGAGTGTGGCTCTTCCACAAAATCCCACGTGCGGGTGCGCACGTACAGTGCGATTGAAACTTCGTGGCCACACTCAAGGGGCCAAAGAGCCGCATGTGGCTCGCGAGCTGCAGTTTGCCGACCACTGGCCTAGGTGACCTGGCCCCTTCCCTTCTACGTCCATGGCATTTTGTATGTACCCCGATTCGCGGCACTTACTTATTTATTAATATATATTTTTTAATTGATTTAAGAGAGGAGGGGAGAGAGAGATAGAAACATCAATGATGAGAGAGAATCATGGATTGGCTGCCTCCTGCACACCCCCTACTGGGGATCTAGCCCGCAACCCAGGAATCGAACTGTGACCTCCTGGCTCAGAGGTTGATGCTCAACCACTGAAGTCATGCCAGCCATGCTCACCACACTTATTTAAACTGCAACGCGTATTTCATATTTGCCCTTTCAGTAAATTGTGGGCAAGGAATTTATCTTTGCATCCCCAGCACCAAGTAGATAGTCCGTTATTGAATTGATGAGCGAATAACTGATTCATCAGAATACCCGTAACACCCCAGGACTGCTGGGTAACAATGCGTAATCCCCAGGACTGCTGGGTAAAACACTGCATGCAGGGCCTCCGTCCTCTTATTCCTCCCCACCCACACACACACACACAACTCGAGGCAGGCGCATCCCAGGCTGGGCTACGCTGCCAACCAGCCAGGCCCAGGCTTACCTCCAGTAACCTCTCGGGGAGGTACGTTTTCACAGCCATCTTTGAAGCTAATCTTTCAAACAGCCAAGGAATGTGGTCTGTCATAAAAGTGGTCTGTTCCCCAGCCCGGGGAGATCCCCTTGTTCACCCTGGGAGACGGTGAGCAATGCGCAGGCAGTTTAAATCCCGCCCTGAGCTCCTGTGTCAGAGGCTCTGGGGGTCACTGTCTGGAAGCAGCTGCTTGGTCACTGGTCTGAAACGTTTGGAGCTGATATTTACGGAATGTTTGGCCTGGAGCCCGATGCCATTGCTTTAACGTGCATTATCTCACTTCATCTTCACAAGGCTCTCAGGAGATGGGTCTGGTTATTCTCCCCATTTTACAGATGAGGAATCTGAGAGGGACACGGGGGGCTCGTGTCATTTTCCTGGGGTCACACAAACACTTTAAAAGAGTGTCACTATAATCCCATGTTTACACTTAAATCAAGGATTTAAACGAAATTCCTACAATTAAGGAATCAAAGGATCCCATTTCTTTTTCTCAGAAAGTGTCCGAAGATGGACTCAAGTGCATGTCCCACAATCCTTTTCACTGATTACACCAAGAGACCCCTTCTCCATTCATTTAAGAGGCAATGATCCATTTAAACAGTATGGGGGATGTCAGATCATTAGAATGTCAAGGTCATCCTATTAGGAAAAAAATAATTCACTTGTGTTATCAGGAATGCACAATCATTTTCATGAGCAAGAAGCTGGAACAGGAAAAATGTTCAAAGCACCTCGTGTCATTTCCACAAATGCATCATCATTTTGTCTGGAATATGAATTCTCAGAACCACAGTAATAAGATCAGATATAGATACAGACAACATACCCAGAAGTCCAACATAGCTTTGCTTGTCTGATGTCAACATCAGCCCGTGTAATGAGAAGATGCCTGCGTGACACTTTGACACCAACAGGGAATTACTGAGTTCCCCTTCAAGCAGAGACACTGCTGTTCCCACGCCCCTGCCTCTGGCCTGCCTCTGGCACTGGCTCTGCCTGATGCCATCCTGATGCCCGTCACTCCACGTCCATCACCTGGTAGCTTCTCACTGAGACTCTCAAAACTCTGCAACATTCTATGGCTGCACCATGGGGAATGGATGGAAAAGAAAGGAATCTCTGGTTTATGTCCGCACACAGCTTTCATCTTTTCTCCAGTAGCGTTTGCTCATGAGGATATAAATGGTGCACATCTTGGCTGACGGCCCAGAGAAACAGCTTATCAATGATCTATACCATGAACATGTTCACACCAATTGCTTTCTCTCACTCCTGTCCATGCAACAGATAAGAATGTGTGAGCTGTCGGCGCTCCGCACAGGTAAAGAGATAGCTGAGTGAAAATCCATTTGTCAAATAATCAAGCTCCCTTTAAATAGAGCTAGCTAAAATAAATCACCAATTTAAACTGAAATACCAAGCCACTCACAAAAACAATCCAATATTCACCACCACCACCACCGCTACCCCAAATCCAGCGTATGACACTTTTCTCACTCTTGACTCAAAGATCTTTTTTCCATTTATGGGTTTACTCAGAAAGAGGCCTGTTTCATCTCCAGGTTTTAGAGCCTGAGATTTCCAGTAGTCTATTCATTTAGAATATTCTCTTGGCCATAAAATGATTGCAACCACAACCAGGTGTGTGTGTGTGTGTGTGTGTGTGTGTGTTTTAAATGCAATGGCGATTCTACTTTCCCATTCAATCTACCCTAATTGACTTAGTTTTCACAGAAACTTGACAGGTTATCTCTAATAAGGTATCTAAATCATGCAAGAGTGAAAATGCCCCCTAAAACTCTTTAGATGAGAAAGAGAAACAAAATTCCACTTAGGATTTCTGCTTATTTTCCAAGTTTTACAGAATAAAAAATGTAACATGTAACATGAGTTCACTGGGACAGGAGATTCAAAATGACCGGATGCCAGGCACACCCTGCCCCTCAGAGACACTGGCACCGTTACTGATGCCACAGGGAGAGGAGGTCACAGCATAACCTGTGAATGCAGGCACGCGTGCTCCCGCAGACGGCTGCTGGCCGTCCATTCATTCATTCACGTGTTCGGAATGTCTCCGAGAACCCGCCGCCCTGAGGGCGCAGGCAGTCACACCAGACTCGCCATACACACGCGATGCTCAGGAGTGCAGGCTGGTCAGCAAAACTGGCCCTCCTGGCTACAAAGTGCAGCATCAGCTAATCCGGGAGAACACGAAAGACCCTGGCCACATCCTTGCACAAACGGTTAAGGCTCCGTCAGAGACAGTCTGTCACTCAACTTTTTGGGTTGATGCTGGATTCTGAATCTAGAAATGCAGTTCCTTCAACACAAAAGTGATCGTCAAAGAAACTTCTCTGAATGAGACCTGGCCCCGGCCCGTCTGGCCTGGCATCCCAGTTGAGACATGGTCATCCACCAGGCTGGCTACGTGCACCCCACAGTGAGCCGCACCCACCCGGCTGGACACGCCACACATGTGTACTCATAAGCGATGGCTTGGAAATCCAATTGGGTCATAATTTAGGGGTCCAGAAGGGATTGCTAGTTAATGAAAGCCTACATTATAAAGACAAGGAATTATTAACAAAGTTTGGATTTTCTTGTTTATTTTATCCAAATAGTACTTCCGTGCCACAAGAAATACCAAAGACATTCAGGTTAAAAGCCCAGGGGGTGGTCACGTTTGTCCCGAGGCTTCAGGTAAGCTTGTTTTTATCTCACTGAGACAAGAAGAAAACACCGATGTGTTGGAGCCGAGATGTATACATTGCAGACTCAGCGCCAATGGGAAGTGACCCTTCGGGTGTTAGGAATCTGTTGTTGTGCTGGGGACACTCCTGACAGAGATTAATTTTACAGGTCAAACAAAACAAGCGGGGTTATCTAAGGAGAGGCGGGACAAGGCCCGGTAAAGGGACGCACAGTCCTGACATCCATTGTACTCAGTAGTTTTAGATTTCTTATCTGCCCTTTGACACCTGTCCCCGTTCCTGATGAGCACAATGCCGAGGGTGTGAGCACTGTCCCCGCTTCCCTGTCCTTTACTGAACGCAAACAGCAGGAGAGAAGAGGGTAGTTTAGGCACAACGGAGCCCAGACTTAAAGCCACGGGAACAGGGAAAACAGGGCTGCACAGCTCCTGGCCAGGCCTGGGGGTGGTCCCTCTCCCCCCAGCCAGCGACAGGATGTTGACACAGCACAGGGACCAGCACCGGTCTTGCCCCAGGGCGACACGGGCAGCACTGGTTTTTCTGGGGGCGGGAGGATTCTCAAGTTCTTTTCATTGAAAATCCAATGACATCTGCTTCCGGCGGGGCCACATCTCTGGGCAAACCCAAAGCGAAGGAGCAAAAGCAGTTCCACCTCCGACAAACCCAGGTTCTGGTTCAAGGTGAAGTGTCCGCAGGCCCCTCCTCTGCATCCGAAACGCCAGCTCAGTGAGATCAGACCTCAAGGTACAGTGACCGAGGGATGGAACCACACACTGGATGCGAACTTCCTCTCACTACCCGAGACCGTGGCAGGTGTCCCCCTCTCCGACACCCTTTTTCTCACCTGCACCACTGAGGGAGCCCACCTTGAGAGGCTGTGAGGATAACAAGGCCCCGGCCTACGTGCCTGGTGAATACGTCAGGACCTTCTCTTCCTTCTTTGACCGTATTGTCTTGTCCAAGACGTGGTCTAGTCTAAAGGTTCCGAGCATCCTCTGGGTTAAAGCTCAGTGAGTATGGTTCTCGCTGTGGGTCTGATAGCTCCACTCACTAGCACTGAATCCCGGGCATGGGCTGTCTGTGCTCTGGGCTCAAGAACAACTCACATTTACGTGGGATGGAACAGACCGCAAGGTTACAGGGTAGTACGTTCACAGCAGGGATTTATTTTTTGTAACAAGATGCAGGAAGCATCAATGCTACCCAGAAACACAGCATCACATTACAATCGCAGGGTTGCTGCGGCAGGACTGTTTAAATATCGTGCCAACGTTCTGTGCTACCCTCAGGGTTCCAGCTCATTTTTGGGATGACGCTCAATTTTTAAGCTGTATTGGGAAACATACAGTAAGGCTTCCAGGGTCATGGAGGTGGAAGGGTAATTGACACAGAACTTGACCTTCCTCTCTGCTGTCAGGTCAGACAGGCCTGAACAAGGTCCCGTGGACTGGCCTGCAGGTGGGCGGGCCCTGCAGGAGACAGCTCAGTGCCAACGTCGCTCACTCCTGGGAGGAGCCGGTGTGACCGAGGGAAAGGGGCACAGGAGGGAGGGCGGGGTCCCTGGCTATGCAGCACCCTCCCAACCATGGGTGCAATTAGGAAATCTCTCGAACACACGGCCTGTGTAGAAACACATGCACCTCACACACTCATCCATAGAAACACACAAACAAGTTACCTACGAAGAGACATACCATCTGCCACAGACAACACAGATGTGCAGGTGCCTAACATGCAAACATGCCATCTACGTGCTAACACACACGCTGAGAAAGGCTCATGTGCATGGAAACACCCAGCCACACAGGATGCGCGTCGCTGCTGAGAGAGCCTGACACAGCAGGGCCCAGGGGGAAGAGCCAACCGCAGGCCTGATTTGCTGGTCTCACTGAGTGGCTGGGACACTCTCTCCCAGGGGCAGGCATGGGGAGGGGCAGGGTGATCGCGTTCTGCCAACCCAAAAGGCACATGGCTCCCCACTGAGCCATATCCACATCTAAACACGTGTACTCAGAGGGGAAGCTGAGATGCAAGACAGAGAGTACTCGACGGGCACCTCATCCCTCTCCTACACACAGCAGCACAGCCACGTTCTCCTGATGGAAAAGGAGGTCCAAGCTCGGGCAACAAGCCACACACGACACACACAGGCACGTGCACACACATACACAGGCACATACATACACATAACACACAGGCACACACACATACACACAACACACACGTGTGCACACACCCACAGGGGCCATCTACCTCTTACCACCCGCTGTATGGGACCTGTCCTGTCCGTAGATTTGAAGAGAGAGGGAGAAAGGGAGATGGTAATGGCTGGGCAGCTCGCTGGCCAAGCACTTTCTCGAGGGCTTGCTTGATGAACCTGAGCGAAAACATTCTGTGCTTCGACTTAACTGCTAATGCAAAGGATGGATGAACGACCACACCTTACCATCCCTTCCACCTCCGAGCACGCAGACTTCAACATTCAGGTCACGGGCGATTAAAAATGGCCATTACCTTCAAAAGGACACACTTCAGGACAAAAGTTATCTACTGGCTGAGACACCGCCAGGGAGACAGCGGTCTCGGGCGGGCGCTCATTACCTCCTGCGCTTTAGCAATTAACGTCCACAATGTAAAACCTTCAGTTGAAAGTTATAGAAAAATCTATAAACAGTTAAGGCAAATGAAATCTGTCTCCTCTAACGTGGATGTATCTATAGGCGACCAGCCCCAGGGCACAGAACACCCCCTTTTAAGAAGAACAGCCGATTGGTTCCAGGAACTGAAATAAAGACTCGCTGTGTTCCAGGGCGGGGTGCGGCTCTTCAGCGTGTTAACGCCATGGACACTGTCCCCGCTATTAAGGGTTTGAATGTGCAAAGTCTGTGTCCAGAGACCCTGCATTTTATTTTGGTATTCTTTCAAAAAAGGGTTCGTACAAAGTCAGTGTAAAAAAAAATCAGTATTCAACTTAAAACAGAAACAGTAATTTCAGAAGGTCTGACAAGGCTGAGGGAGAGAGAAACAGGTAGAGAGGAAATATATTAACCTTTCTTCACCTGCGGGGGTGCAGGCGCCGAAGCAGCCAATCCGACATGACCCCTCCGGGGCTGGCAACTGCAGACCGGGCTGGAAGCCTGGGCCCTGGGGACGCTGGCGAGCAGCGAACCACATGCAGGGACATGGAGGGCGTGTCCACCGCTGTGCCCCCGACGCAGCCGCCTCGGACGTTGTAACCTTCACGCAGCCAAAGTCATAGACATTCACCATCTCCCGAAACATATTCCTGAGAAAGACATCACCCTAAGGAATGTCCGGCTTGAAGGGACCTACAGGCAAACACTAAGAGGGCGGAAGCACCATGGTTACGGGGGGGTGTTCCAGCAGCGGAACCGTGCGGTGACACAGTGCACCTCGGCCCCACGCCAGGCCGACTGGCTTCCCTTCCTTCTTTCCCAACACGTCTTCCTTTCGACCTGAAGGCTGTTCGTTCAAGAACACTGTTTCCTTTTTCAGGTACAGATATCCAAAGCCGACGCTGATTTAAAGAACGACACACGAATCCTGTGCCGCCTGTGGACGCATAACCAGGGCGGGGGGTGTGGGAACACACTGAAGCGAGCGGACGGGGCCCTACGTGCCCGGGAAAGCACGAGGGAGCACTTGGTAAAGGTGTGCCGTGGATACAGGAGGCAGAGGGAGGCAGGAGAACCCGGTGTGGCTCCCCCTGAACCCCTGCACAGGCCTCTGCCGGGAAGGCTCCCCGCCCCCAGCCCAGGCCCCGGGAAAGCCCCTGGAACCAGCTGCATTTAAGAAGCTGATCACGGACCCTAAGACTGGCCCCCCCACTCCCCTTTCCCTATGCTCTGCGGCCCATCCTCCCTCCCTCCCTCTCTCTCTCTCTCCCTCTCTCTCTCTCTCTCTCTGGTGCCCTCAGGAATGAAACCAGAGACCTCTTGGTGCATAGGATGATGCTCAACCAACTGAGCCACCCTAGCCAGGGCACCTTTCCTTCTCTCTTGACCAAACTCTACAAGCCAGGTCAACACCAGGGGCCGACCAGCCCTTCCCGGGAGTGAGCGGCAGAGGGCAGGAGTGGGGTGCACAGTGACGGTGGTCAGAAATCAGGGGCTGTCAGCTGTCAGCGCGGTGGCTGGTCTCCCCTGGCAGGCACTCCCGGGACGTTAGAGGCTCCACGCTGAAGCTGCCAGTCCGCCACAGTGTCAGTCCTCCCTGGTGGGTGGGGAGCCGGGGAGGGGTTCTAAGGGACATTCCAGCTGGCTTGCCCTCCTGGCAATCCACGCAAACAATCTGTGGGAGCACCTGAGGCACACGGGCAGGGCCAGGTCCCTGGCAGCTCTGAAGGTTGGGCTTCCCGGGCCGGACCTGCCAGCCGGGGTGGGTGGTGTGTGTGTGTGTGTGTGCATGTGTGTGTGTCTGTCTGTCTGTCTGCTGGGGGAGGGGGGAGGGGAGGGAACGGACGGGTGAAGACAGGTGCCCATCACAGAGTGAGCAGAGGCTACCTGCTCTGGCCGGTAGGGAAACAGGATCAGAAACAGAGCGGCCTGGTTTTCTCTTTGGGAAAAGAAAGATCCAATCGAATCATTAGTGCACATTTTCTGTTGTGATCTCTCTCGGTGGAACCTAAGGCAACAAGGAACAGCCCCTGGCTGCGGGGGGAGTGGAACTGGACCTTTACACACACACACACACACGTCTGGCTTCCGGAACCAGGATAAAGACGCGTCCCCTGGGAGCTGTGGAGGGTGTGGCGCCGGAGACGGCGGGGACGAAGCTGTAAGGCGAGGCTCCCGGAGCCGCCCGCTCCGCTTTGGTTACAGCTGCCACAGGAACGCCGGGGGACGGCCTCTGGAGAAGTCCCATCCGCCAGTCAGGTGTCCCCCGCACGGATTTCCAGGGCGACACCTCGTCTTCCTTCCAAATAAAGTGCAGGTCAGGCCGCTGGTCCAGCGCCCGCCAGGCTCGGCAATGAACGTCACACACGCCAGGTGGCCCTCCGTGCACGCGGGTCTCCCTCCCTGTTCTTTTCTTGGAATAAAGCCGCAAACGCAGGACTTTCACACCGACGTCTCCGACTGCAGGCGGAGGACAAACTTGTGCGACTTGGGGTCTACGAACTCCTCCGAGAGCGCGATGAAGGGGATCTTCTTCACAGTGACCACGAGGCCGAAGTCCAGGCACTTCAGGACGAAGACGAGTCCGTCCCGCAGCCCGTTCGTCACGGCCTCGTCGCTGA